GCGTCCCCGGCCGGATACGCGTACCCATTGCCATTGTTGTTGTTGTTCCCGTTGTGCGCAAAGCTAAGCGCGGGGCTGGGGGGACTGTAGTCCGCCAGACGTGGGGTGGCGGCCGCGCTACCGCTAGTACCCCCGCCAAAGTAAGAGTCTGTGGAGGCGCTGCCCAGCGAGCTGGAGCTGTCGTTGCGGTAGCTGGAGAAGGGCTTGCGGCCCGGGGTGGGCGTGATGCTGGGAGTCGGCTTGCTCCAGAGGCTGCCCGGGCCGGCCCCGCCGGACCCGTGGTGCAGGTCGAAGCCCACGTCGGTGCCGTTGGCGTGGAAGTCGTTCTCATCGGTAAGCTCGACGATGCCGCCGGTGCGCAGGGCGATGTGCGCCTCGATCTCCTCCCGCGCGCGGTCCACATTCTCCGGCATACCTGTCACCTCGAACACTGGCTCCTTGTCACGGCTAGGAGTCACGATGTATGTGTGTGTCTGCTGCTGGATGCGCTTGATCGTGGCGCCTTTGGGACCCACGACGAGACCCACCACGCGGTAGGGCACCCGCACCTGGATGGTGGTCTGCCCCGGCAGGTTGGGTGGCCCGGGCACTGCGCCGTTGAGCGCCGTATTTTTATTCCGCGAGGCTCGGATCATGGAAAAGTGCTCCGCCGCGGAGATGATTTCCCTCCGAGCCATGGCCACATCTTCCTTCCTGCCCGTCACAACAAAGACAGGCTCCTCCCCGCGCACTGGGGTCTTGATATAAGTGTTGGTCTTAGCCCGCAGCGCTTTGATTTTACAACCTGAGAATCCCGGCAGAGAGGAAGAAATGGGAAAGAGAGACACGCCCATTATCCCGGGTAACCGCGGAGACCAGGGACCGCGGGACGCCCGACGCCAAGAAGGGGGCGTCTCCTCGCCGACCGCTGCCGGGCGGCGGGTTCCACCCGCGAGACGCTCGAGGAACAGCCCATTGGCTGCCTGGCCCTCCCCCGGGGACTGCAGTCGTCCCAAACCGAGCCTGGAGAATCCCAGAAAAGTCACCCCGGGAGATGCGGCTGGAACCTGCCCGGGTGCACTGGACGCTTGAAAGACCCGAGCGGGACTAGGGGAGACAGCCGCAGGGACTACGGCGAAGCGCGGGGGGCTTGCAGGGGGGCGCAGTCCCAAGACCCATTGTTACTGCGCTGCGCTCCATTCCGCTTTGCAGAAATCCAGAATCCTCCTCCCCTCGGATGCTCACTCCTCCTCCTGCGCCCTCCCAAAGGACCGATGAAAGGCCCCCTCCCCCAGCATCTCCTATTTAAATCACCGTTCCCCGGGTGGGCTGAGTGGGGGGCGCCAGGGGAGAAGGCTGTGGTCCCAAAAGAAGAAAGTGCGTCCTGCGTGGTGGCCGCGCGGCTCTGGGAGGCGGCCTGCCTGCACTTTCTTTGTCTGGGGCGCTAGCTCTAGCGCGCCTCTTCCTCATCCCCAGGCCCCCCGCGCCGTGGACTGCGAGCCCGCGCATCCCCGCTTCCCATCCCCGCCGGACCCACCTTGCCTCCCCACGATCTCCGCGACGTGCTCGGAGCTGGGCACCGGCACGCACTCGGTCATGTTCACGCTCTTCTTTCGCGGTTCGCTGTCGTACAGAGACGCGCCCTCGTCGCTGTCCAGACCCAGCAGAGAGAGCTGG